TTTGAAACGCCAGTGTGATTTTCCAAATGACCTGCTTGTTAGAAACTGACTAAAAAGTTGTTTTGGATGACTGCTATCACTCATAAGAGAAAGATGTCCTTGTCACCAGTGTTGAATTTTTCATTAGGATAACTTCAATAATTCTAGTGCTACCCTTAATCAGAACTTCCCTGTTTCTAATGCGATCACTCGGTTTTCTATTGCAGATCGTATGTAGTCAATACATATGAAAGGCATCAAGATTCTGATCAAGAGATTAACGATATCAGTACTATTGACATGTACACATCAATTTTCACTTTTAATGAAACGTCGTGGGTATTCCAAAGAATGTTATAAAGATTACCAAAAGTAGAAGTAAACTTTCCAATCTTGCACTCAGTTTCTTTGTACGTTTTAGCATCGTTTGATGCATTCATGTCAAGATAGGCGAAAGAGGAAACGGTTTTCAAGTCTTTTCCCTCAACAAGAAACGGTGGAAGCAACAGCTGGGGTGGATAGAGATAGGCCGTTGAACAAGTTCCGCTTTGTATGCTGATGGACAAACTGAAAGCATTCGATGCAAGGGAAAATTTGTTAACGATCCTTTGCTTATCCTCAAAAGTGTGGGCTAAAAATTCTCGATCGCCTGCAAAGAGGTGGTCACGAACAGTTGGCACAATCGTCTTAATTCTAATTTTGAAGCGTTGTTTTGTGAACAACCCATCACTTATCCGAAAGTCAAATCTCATTCCTTCTTTAGCATTCTGAAATGGTGTTTCCAGCATGACAGAAAAATAGAAAGTAAATAAGAGTGGTGCAAGAACACAAGATTGTATAGGACACTTCTTCACAGGACCTAACTGAGACCATCATCCAATGACGGACATTTCAAGAAAACCTGGCTTTCTAAGGACGATCCAAAGATCATCGCTTGAAACGATATCATGGGCATGAGGGAAAAAACAAAAGAAACAAAAAATTCCTTGCCTTGACTGATGCTTTATCCTGCAGTTGCCTGAAAGTGAAATGTGAAATTCATGTCCAAGGTGCTTCTACTTGACCGAATGCTACACTGAGATTCGGACAATCTGCCAGAGAAGAGTTGAGGTTGTTTAATATATAACAGTCTGTCGCCACAGAGTGTTGACTTCAATGTTCATTTTTTATATTTACATACGCTCTATCTCTGATATTGAGCATTTATCCCATAAATATAGCATACCTTCAAATTATATATCTTCATATATATATATATATATATATATATATATATATATATATATATATATATATGTGTGTGTGTGTGTGTGTGTGTGTGTGTGTGTGTGTGTGTGTGTGTGTGTAAGTTAATTTGATTTTAAAATTTCAAATAGAATTTGACTTAAAACAAACTTAAAAGTATTAGAGATTCTCGATAGCAACGCTCAAGTTAAGAAAAATGCATATAATCTTTATAGAAATCCAAATGGCATATCATTTTACATACAAACATCTTCCAACAATCGACCAAAAATAATCAAGCAGATCAGAAACTCATTTAAATGCAGGTCATCGAACAACGCTTCTTACGAAAAGTATTTTCAATGAAATAAAAAAGATTATGTAACAGCTCTAAAAACTGGATTTTTGGCAACACTCATATTCACACGTCACAGTACAAAAAGTAAAAAAAAAACTATCATATCATTTGACCCATCATACAACACAATATAAATACCAATGTGGGAAAAATAAGCAAAAATCACTCACATTTGTAACTACATAACAACAAAAGAATTGCCCTTAAATGGGATTTACTTGAAAAAGAATATAATATACCAGATCACTGTAAAATCAGAAGATAACAAATCACTATACATAAGAGTAACGGAAGTACCCTGAAAAAAGAAATACTACGCATTCAAAACATCCTTAACTTAAATACATGAACAGCACAACCATTTTAAAACATTTATGGGATATTAAAATCAAAATACACCAAAAATGTCAATGAAAATATAGAAAACTGAGTCAGCCAACATCAATAAATCAAAAAAGTATAAAAATTATCTGCAATATATATATGCATTATTGATGTGGGGCCAAAGTTGGAACCACAGAAGGAAAACACGGAACACGGAACACGGATTAGATGTAAGAAAGATATATTAACATCAGGTTACAGAGATAGTGTAAGTGGAGCTTACTATATGTTAGTGTCCAATACTGGTAGTCGTACTAGACTCTCACTGTCTCTCTATGTCACTCTCTAGAGTGCTATGTCGCCTACTTAATATAGGCCTGGAAGAGTCTATTGTGTAGGTAGTTTCCGGTCTCACAATAATTATATACATCACATATAATATATTTTTGGCAAACGAAAGAATTTAAACGAAACAAAAAAATAAATAAATGAAATAAATTAAGAAATTACGTAAGTAATACACAAATTGACAGACTGCAAATGCACACATAAACACAAGTAAATGTAATAATAATAATAATAACCAAAAAGAAATAATTAATTAATATAAAGTAGACGAAATAATCAATAATAAATAAGTGAACAAACAACATTATAATATAGATACAGATAAACACATCTGAATTCATAATTTTAGCCACCCAATAGCCTCTAGAATAATTAGTAGTATAACTGCTACCATCATATATATATATATATATATATATATATATATATATATATATATATAACAAAGTATATTAATCAGTCACCCTAAGTATTTCTGAAAGATATTTTTAGGCAAACAATCATTGTAATTATAGTTATTATATCTTGTGAAAGGTTAGTACTAGTAGTAGTTTTACTAGTAGTAGTAGTAACAGATTTTGATAGGCGTTGCTCTACCATAGTATAAGAACATTGTGAAGGCGAAGTAGGTGGAAACACAGAGGTAGCAAAATCTAGCAGGGTCACGGAGAAATATGCCAAGCATCAACTAACGTTGTTTCTTTTGTGGCTGAAGCACTCAGGACTGTTCCCAAGAATATCTCTGCCTCGCAAGACACCTTTGAGCATAAATGATATTGTGTGGGCGCAGCCGGCAGGGGTTGTTCGGAACAGCTCAAGTGCTGAGAATTACTGTCTTGAGAATAACGATAACTCGAAGCTGTGGCTAAGTACTGAGACATAACCAAAAACATCCAATAATCGGAGTGGATCTAAATAATAATAATAATAATAATAATAATAATAATAATAAATATTAAACAAATACAGGGTAGTGCGAAAGTAGGTATACAGTATTTGAAAACAAAACCTGCGCATAAAACTTTATTGTATTGATTATGCAAACATATCAATAATAAACATAACAATCTCTCAAATCATTCACTCATCTTTACCTGCAAAATATTAATTATTATTTATTAAAAATAAAAGTTATAATAAATGTATCATAATAAAAAATAATGATAATAAAAATATTAAAAAAAATGATTTTAATAAATTAAATGAATCCTAGAACCACTTTTATAATACTGGTATAATATTTATCGTATACCTACTTTTGCACACCCCTTGTATATCTAGTCATACTTTCGCAGGTTCTAAAATTCACTCATCTAGGACGATAATATTATTGATTCGTTTTATATATCATGTTTTACTTAAAAGGCCATAAGTTTTGACTTGAATTTATTTGAAATTATTTTTTCGTAAAGACATTAGTTTGTCACGGAAGTGTATTTGAATTTAATCTGGAAGTAGGTATTAATGCTTTTATTTTTAATTTTTTGACTGGCGAATAATTTCCGTTTTCGATAGGGATGTGTAAAAGGTTTTCAAAATATAATGTTAATATAGTAATGTATTTTAATACTATTATCGATCCAAAACAAGGTCCAAGAGCCACTAGTAGGTAAGTTTTTGTAAGGGTGTCAATGGATTGAGTATGAAGTGCATATGATGATGATATGTAGGAAAGTCAATATTTGGTTTGAAGCAATGTTAGCATTGGATTGATTGGAGAAGAATCCTTTCGTTCTGTTCCACAAATTAACAGTTCTGGGGGAAGAGGATGTCTGATTGGAATTTCGTGGGGAAATAGAACACGTGGGGAATGAATTTGAGTTGAGCCTTCGTACGTGACATGGCGGATCCTAGCTCAAAATGTCTGGACTGGTGGGAATGTAGCTCGTTTGAAAGACTGCAAGAAAAATAGCAAAAGAGTAGCCAGAGATGAGCAACGTTATATTTGTGGAGGGATTGAAATGCGGAGATTAATTTATCATCGCATAAATTTTTAGAATTTTGTCTTGGCAGGAAAGTGAATATAAGGCAGCTCCAGATGACAGCAGCAATACCCCATTTTTGTTCAGAAAAATACAGAATGGCGGAAGTAACCAATGTGAGTTATGCAATTTATAACTAACTGATCAATTAGAATGTTTTCTGTACCCCAGTAGAGTGTGCGAATCTATATCACTAATCCTCACAGTATGTCTCATTAGTTCAAAATTGTGTCAGACTAGGCAGAGGTGAGTAAATCAATATATATATATAGAGAGAGAGAGAGATAGAGAGAGAGACAGACAGACAGACAGACAGACAGAGACAGAGAGAGAGAAATACCTGTCTATATTTCTGAGATGATGTATTATGTACAATGTTTACATTGTTCGGACTCTCTACAATATTTACTATCGTCTTCACCAAATTTGTTGCCATATGTATCACAAGGTTTCGGTCGGTGTAAGCTCCGGCCTTTTTCAGGTATTTGGAATGTCGAACTGAACCCTTTATTTCGCTCGCTGGGGTAGACTGTTCTAGTTCTAGAGAGAGACAAATATACTAAATCGATGTTTACTGGGAGATTGTGTATCAACAAAATTCAGTTTGGGGACAGCTGTCTCAAACTGCATAACAATTCTGATTTTACACATCATTAAAACCTTGACTAAAATCACACAAGACAAACTACTAATTATTGTAGATTCTTAGTGAAATTTTAAAATTGGCGTGTTTTAACTTTCTTTTTCGGATTTAAATGAGAGATTTTATCGGTGAAGTCAGCAACAGACAGGAAACAGGAGAAAATAGATCGCCCATGTTGTGTAGAAGTATGACACATGCGGAGATAGATAGATAGATAGATAGATAGATAGATAGATAGATAGATAGATAGATAGATAGATAATGAACAGACTGAGATAGAAAAATAGATAGATAGACAGATAGACATACAGATAGATAGATAGATAGATAGATAGATAGATAGATAGATAGATAATGATAACTCCTCATCTCAGAAATTCAGACAGAGATCCTTTTCTCTATTTAAGATAACAAAAAGTCCAATTGGATGTGATGCTTTCTCACCAAAAGAAGACTAATTTCTCTATATATTTCTGGGATGAGATATTCTAATTATTTACATTATTTACAAAGTTTGGATTGTTATCCTCGTATTTATTGTGATATTCACGACGATTCGGCCGCTGTACGTTCCGGCCTTCTTCAGGTGAGTTGAATTTCGAACTTGTTATGGTCCGGTTCCTTGTACCACTGTGATGGTCCAAGGGAGAACCAATAAAGAAGAACTCGAACACGAATATGGAATAACACAGATATATTACAAACAGGAATATATACAGAGAAGTAGAAAGTGTTAGTACGAACAATCAGGTTTAGTAGGGAGAACAATGTAGTCTCGACCAGTATCACTCTTCCAATGTCTTGTAGTAATTGTCTGAACGCGACTCTGTTTCGGACAATTCTTGACTCGACTCCTGACTTGACTGACTGACTCGCTCTGACTGACTGACGGACTTCACTCCAGACTTCAGACTGAACGGTATTTAGTCACCCCACCCCCACGAGGGCATCACGTGGCACAAGGCCGGTTTAACGTGGGATCTCGGAGCCAGTGGACTCGGCCAAAAACATGCCATTTGAACCCGTATAAACGGGTTCTGGGTCGGTTTACCTCCCCGAAAGAGACCCCGCCCTTCGGCGTAGCCTCGTTCAGGTTCCTCCCCGCCCGAAGGGGGAGAATTCAACCGATCAGCGGGTCGCTCGACTTCAGACTGAACGGTATTTAGTCTTCCCCCCACGAGGGCATCATGTGGCACAAGGCCGGTTTAACGTGGGATCTCCGAGCCCGTGGGATCTCCGAGCCTTTTGAATCCGTATAAACGGGTTCAGGGTTGTTTTACTTCCCCAAAAGAGACTCCGCCCTTCGGTGTAGCCTCGTTCGGGTTCCTCCCCGCCCGAAGGCAGAGAGTTCAACCGATCAGCCGATCTGCCGGTCGTCCGACTTTAGGCTGAACTCCCTGCTTCCTCTTGAGGCGCAGTATTTATTACGTATGGAATAGTCCATTATGTTATTATGGGTAAGGTCCCCTAACAGAACCGAACACATTATTTCCTCCAACTGAGTAGATTGTTCTAGTTCCTTGTGCCATGGCTCTTCCGGCTGATTCAGTATCAAGTATTTCCCTTTAGGATTTCAACTCTCCAAGTTTTTGTTCACCTCTACTATAGTCAGGTATTGAACTCACAAATCTTTGGGTCAATTCACTGGATTACTTCAACCAACGCTTTCATCTACTGGGCTATGTGTCCTTGTGGACATTCGAAATTCTAATCCCCTGAAGAAGGACTGGGCATATAACGGCCAAAACGTCGTGAATATAACAACAAATATGAGGATAACTGTCCGAACAATGTAAATAGAGTAAATGAATATCGACTTGTTCAAGTTTAAATCATACTCTGTAGCATAAAACACAATCCGATTCAATATTTTATTTTATCCATTTGCGAAATACCAAACGATAAACGACATCCAACAGCAAGGCCTCTGATCAGGTTTTGAGGAGTGTGGAACCAACTCTTAATTCGTGTTGTTCCAAATCTCCCTGTGAATTGTAGCACTTGTTAGGGTCCCAGCTATGGAAATAGTTAACACCCAAAACTTGAGTCAAAACACTATGAAAATTTAAAAATAGGTCTTTATAGTTAAAATATCAGCAATACATGTTTGTATTACTGGTAATATTTTTTTAATTTGATCTTTTAAGTTTTAAAGCTTTTTTGTCAACACTTTCGCCATTATTTTCTCATATATCCTTTATCTTCGATGTACATTCAGACAAGGATTAGGAAGTAGAAATGGCAATGTATATATTCCTACAGTGTTTCCTTTATTTTATTTCTCATTTACTCCTTCTCCCAACATAGAACTTTACATTATGCATTTCATCCCTTCAAACTTGAATAAAATATTTTTTTAGATTCCGACAGGATCACGGGTTTTTACTCACAGAATATGTTTACTGTTAATTCATAACTAAAGAACAACATCATAAAATAAAATTTAAGAATCATTAACAGGTCTAAAGGTTCCATTACTAATTCTAAATACCATGGTCTCATTATGCGTTGTTGCAGTCGTTAACTAACTTGAACAGATGCCTTGTTCTATGACCCATGTATGTGTCTACGCACACGGAAATAAGAGTTATATTTATATCTAAGATGCAACCATGAAGCATCAAACCCAAAATTTAGCAAGACTGATTAAAGTTTGAAAAAAAATCGACAGAAAAAAAAAAACATTATTGATTATGATTGAGTATTTCAAAATGAACGCTTTTCTTCATTTCTTTTGAAAGCAGAAAGAATGGAGATTGGATAGATACAAGTTATCTCATACTTGTCAGATTTTTTGTCAGATTGATAAACTTGTATTGAAGCGGTTCATTGACGTTATAAAAGTTTATATACTTATATTTAAAAAAAA